CAGCGCATTTGCAGTGCTGCAAGGATTACAGTTGAGGGGGAGCAGGGAAAACGTTACACTTCTTGTGCAATAGCGGCTTTAGGGTGGAGATGCTTGAAGTAAATAATTTTTATATGGACAGCGCTTTAGTACAGCCATTATAGATGCTTACGGGGTGCAAAGTCGTGCACGGGCAGGGTTGGCGAAACGCGTTTCGGAGTTCGCTCGTCAAACGCAGCGTTGTTCGATCCCATCGCAGAGCCCAACAGGCAACTCTCCCATGCAGCGCTTTCCTAGCCTTTCAGGCATTGGCCCTTTGCGACTCCCTTTGTGAATACAGGGCTACATGCACGGCTAGTTTACGGTGCAGTTGTCTCATCTGTAAAGGCTGGAACTTCATGGTTTGCATGTTGCATGGATGCAAATTTTGCAATTGTATATGCAGCTCGCAATGCGCAAGCTTTGCGTGGGGCACAAGTCCTACTTGCTAGGTGCATGGTTGTGCACTTACTCTTACTCTCGTTTCGCACGCGTGCTTCCTGTGATTGCCATGATTTGTAGAGGGCTGCCGTTGGACAGCCTCGTTAAAAGGTAAGTTTAAAATGCCAGCCACGTTGTGACAGACATTTGGAAAGCATGATACGTGAGCGTAGAATCGTAGAAAGAATGCAGTGGCGTAGCTTGTTGGCTTGTTGTGCTGGCATGGACTGTTCTGACTTTTCTGATTGTCTGCTCTGAGGCGCAGTTCCTTGCACAGATCCAATCCAGCCAGTCGCAGTCTCATTGTTGGCGCAGCTTCGGCATGAGGATATGCAGTCGCATCGGTCTATTTGCTTGCGCATTCGGTCAGTGGGCTCTGAGTAAGCCTTGCAGGAGTTCCAAGAAGAGGAAGTTTCCCCACGCGTCATGGGTGGAGAGCGCTGGCCCGCAAAGCACGCTGAAAGGCCTGATGTCTCAGTTTGACGCAGCCAACTGCACAATCGTTGCAGCTGGCCTCATGTGGCAAATGACATATGGGAGGATGACTGGCGGCTGTGCAGAAGCACTTGCTCCAGTTGAAACCCTCTGGGTTGGTGTTAAGGAATCTATATTGAGTTACTAAAGTTTAGAACCCCCATTGTTCATTATATATCAACCACTATTTTGGTAAGTTAGTTACCCTGAACTCTAAACCCTAAGTTGCCCCAACAGCAACCCAGGACAAAGCATTTGATTGGCCAAAGTGCCGACTTAAAGTCATGGCATTAGCGGAACTCGTTCATGCCGAAAGCAAGTGCCGATGGCCAGTGCCATTGTGTTCTCCGACATTTCGGGGTATGTAATGCGTTTGTATGTATATTATATATATATATATAGATTCATATAGATATATATATATATATTTATTTATATAGATACATAGATATACAATTATATAATCCCCTGTAGCATCCCTGTGTAATCCTACTTTAGATTCCGCTAGCCCTAGTTTCCACTTCATTTTCCGTCACATTGTGGTAATAGGAATTGGTAATCCCTATGCATAACCGCCGGAGCCCTGAACCCAGCATCCTAAACCCTAAACCCTAAACCTTGCCGAAGGTGCTTGAGCAGACGATGGATTTCGGTGTGGATCCCAGTGTAGACTAACCAGTCCTGGGCCTGACTGGGGTATCCCCTCAAAGGGGTTGTAGGCGACACAGAGTGCTTTAGGGGTACATAGGGTATATCTTGGGATCTATAGGGGCATGACATGAAGGGTTCTAAGGGCATGTATTGGGATCTAAAAGGATGTTTGGGAACATGTAGGGATCTATACAGGGATATGTATGAAAGGATCTACAGGGATCTTATGGGGATTTGACTGCGACAGTCATTTGACAGGACAGGCCAGCCTCACGAAACCAGATTCGGCTTGACATGCAGCAAGCCAAGGCGGGGCTCCAAACCTGAAACTCCATGTATCTGATTTTGGGGTTCAAGGGTTAACATTGGGGTAATATTGGGGTAATATGGGGGTAATATTGGGATAATAGAAAAGAAAATGGAAACTACTATAGTAAATGCTACATAACCCCTATTTCCCGCATTGGGACCCATATGTCCCCCATGAACAGCATCATAAGCTCGTAGAACCCACACACGGATAAGGATTGTATCGATTGGCTTCCCGTCTCGAAGATCTCATTGGGGGGGGGGGGCCTGCTGGTACAGATAGAACAACGTCTTATATAACAAGCCTGGCAAATAGAA